TTTTGTTCCATTTTGCCTCTAGCAAACTTTCATTCTACACACTGCAGAAGACAGTGAGTGACTTTGATTTTAAATTTCTCTTTTTTATTTTATTTATTTATTTTTATTTTATGTATATGAGTATTTTGCCTGCATGTATTTAAGTGTACCATGTGCATGCAATGCCTGAGAAGGCCAGAAGGGGTTTTTCAGATCCCCTGGAACTGGAGTTACAGACAGTTGTTAGCTGCCATGTGGGTGTTGGGAACTGAACCTGGGTCTCTGCAAGAGCAGCCAATGCTCTCAACTGCTGAGCCAACTCTCCAGTCCCTAAAGCCAGCTTCTTGACATAGACAGGAAGGTATTAGATGCCCTGTTTTGAGAGACATACTCTTGGTACTCTAATAAGGATTATAACATAAAAATTAACATGTCAATGAGGTTATTTACTTATTTATTTATTTTGAAGTGGGATTCTATTCTGTGTCCCTGACTGGTTTTCACTCCTGTGTTCAAGTGATCCTCCTGCCTCAGACTCTCAAGAAGCTAAATGCAATTATTTTGCTTGTTTTGTTTTTGAGCAAAGTCTCCCTCTAACCCATGTGGGCCTGGAGCTTACTGTAGGCTAGGCTGGCCTCAAACTGTAGGCCGTCTTCCTGCCTTGGCTTCCTGAGTACTGGGATTACAGGTATGAGGTACCATACTAGGCATTTTGGTTTGTTTTGCTGTTTTGTTGAGACAGGGTCTCCCTGAGCGCCTGGCTTGGAACTTTCTATGTAGACCAAGCTGGCCTTGACCTCACAGAGATCCACCTGCCTTAAAGGCAAATGAAGTTTCATGTAGTTTTCACAGGAAAGTTGACTGCCACAAACATAAATTGGAAGAATAGATCTATTAAAGTTACCAGTTTAGGACCCTGACAGGATGATGGGTTAATAGCATAAATAAGGAATTGTGAAACTAAGGAAGGCTCCTGGGTCATATGGAGATGTGTCTCTTCAAATCAGTGTTTTACTTTCTTTTTCAATCTTCATTGGGACAGAGAAAATTGTTTTCAACTTAAAATGTCTTTCCTTTAAAACAGAGTATACAAATCAATATCGTCATTTTGGAGTAGGAAAATTTTCCAAATAACTCCTTTCTCTTAAGAAAAAGAAGCAAAATTGTCTTGTGTATCATTGGCTTTTTTGGCATTTTACGTCATATAGACCATTTTAATAAAAGTATTCATAATTCTTTACCTTTGAAACGTCCCCAAAATTTGGCTATTATTCTCAGCTGTGTGTAATTACTCGTCAAGGATAACACTGATTAGTTTAGTTAGTACAGCGTCCTTCAAAACATGTCTTAAATTTCTCTTTTAGTTTCAACATCAGTAAACAATTATCTTTTCTTTTTTCTTTTTCTTTTTCTTTTTTTTTCCTGAATGCTGGGATTAAAGGCATGTGCCACCATGCCCAGCACAATTATATCTTTTATAATATGCCCATTGCTTGGCAAATAATATTTTCAGGTGATCATAATCCCAAATAACTGACTTATTCATTTGGCATAGATACAAACTTATTTTAATGAACAAATTTCCTAAAAAACAAAAATATTTAAGACAGAATTCTCCACAAGCAGTGTTTTTATAATATCGAATTAGAGATATGAATGCGTGCTTCATCATACCATGATTTCAGACTGTTCCATTCTTACAGTTAAATTCAGAGACCCAAGTAATATGTGATTTAGCTAAGCATCCTGGCATTTGAGTCCAATCCAAATCCATTTTCAGCTCAAGAATCTAGAACATCATCTGATGTCACTATTTTATGACTTGAATATAACTAGAATTCTATTCAAATAGCTATATAAACAGAAGAAAATACTGAATACCCCATCAATGAATTTCTACTAGCCAAAGCAGAATTGAAATACTTTTTAAAAAATCTGTACAATTTTCCATTTTTTTGTTGTTCTTTACTCCCAAACACATAAGTCTTCAGATGAATATTAAATTTTTTTAATTTTCCAAAGCACGTCTTATGATGCATATTAGCTATCTAATTGTTTTTCATGTCAATTCAATAAAAATTCATTTTATTGAATTTTTGTGAACTTCATACAATATATTTTTATCATATTTAGGCACCTACCTGCATCCTCACTTAATACTCCCCCACCCAATTTCATGTATTCTGTTATATATATTAAGGAGTATTGAATTGAATTTATGTCCCCAAATGCCCTTCTGTGTGGGTTCATCCACTGAAGTCTGGTTAACCTATCCAGTGTTGACATCCTTGAAGAAAACCAATTCTCCCTCTCCAAGCAGCTATCAGTTGCCAATAGTAGTTCCTCATCCAGGGTGGGGGCCTCTTCCCCATTTCCACATCTATGCTGGGATTGTATCTGGCTTAAAGCTTACATGGGTCCTGCGTATGCTGTCGCCTTTGCTGTGAGTTCATATGAGTAACAGCCCAGCTATCTGGAAACCTCTGTTTTCTTTCATCTCCCTCCTCTGGCTCTTACAATCTTTCTGCCCCATCTTCCACAATGATCCCTGAATCTTGTGTGGCAGAGGTTTGATATAGGTGTCCTATTCAAAGCTAAGCACTCTGCAGCCAGTCTCTGATTCTCTTCACACTGACCAGTTGTGGGTCTCTGTGTTAATCACCATCTGCTTCATGAGGAAGCTTCTCTAGTGACAGTTGAGAGATGCATTGATCTATGGGTATAACAATAAGTCATTAAGGAATCAATTTAATGCTATGTCTATTTAGCAGAATAATGGTAGTAGGCTCTCTCACATGGCCTGTGACCTGTCTAGCAGTTCATAGGCCTGATTAAATATGTAATTTTTATTTAATTTTTTTTTTATTTTTGGTCTTCTTGAGACAGGGCTTCCCTATAGCCTCAAGCTGGCCTGGAACTCCCTATGTAGACCAGACTGGATATCCACCTGCCTCTGCCTCCTGAGTGCTAGGACTAAAGGCATGCACCACCACACCTGGCTAAATCCCTAATTTTTAATAGCCTAGTAGATTCCCAGTGTACTAATACTAGCCTGCTTTAGCCTGTCATGTGACTATGACTGCCTCTGCAGGAGACTTTGGTTGTCTGATCTTACCAATATCTCTCAATGTAAGTTCACACCTTCCTTATGAAAACGCTGCACATAGACCATCCACCAAAGGTTTGTATCTTTTTTATCAAAAAATGTTTTCAATACCATACAGAATTCTATTTAGGTGCAGGGATCAAAATCAACTTATATTCCAGCAGTTATAGAAAGAGTAAGAAAACTAAGAAAACCAGAGCCATATTTCCAGATTATTCCACAGATGTTTAATCGGGAGTTCCTGGGAAAGTTTATGTCTTAAACCTCCTCTAAGATGGGAAAAAAGAAGTACAGAAAAATGCAGCGTGGACTGGAAGATGATTCAAGGCTGTACCATTCATTTCCTCTCCGCAGGTGAATTTGAGTTTCCTCTCAGCACAGAGCCTGCCAGCCTCAGACACTTTCCTGATGGTCACAGCCACACCCCAGTCCCTCTGTGCCATCCGTGCAATAGACCAGAGTGTAACCCTGATGAAGCTGGAAGCCGAGCTCTCCCCTCAGTCTGTGAGTCCCATTTCGGTCTTGAGTATCACAAAATGTTCACATTAAGACCATTTTTGTGAGCTGCAGCCACAAAGGACAAGATCAGTGAAGGAGCACTCTTGTTTGCTTTGGCATGCTCCATCCCTAGCACAGCATCGTATTTAATTTTGCATATTTAACCTCCTTACTAAATTTGTTTCAACACATTTTAAAAAATAAATCCAAGGTATGTGTTATTATCCATTTTATGGATGATAAAAACAAAATTAGAATGTTAAATAATTATGACGAGAACACGCTACAATATGCTTTAGAGATGAAATTTGAACTAAATTTCTTCCAGCCCACTTGCTAACACACTGCAATGCAAAGTTTTAAGCTTTCCCCAAAATCAAGCACTTGCTGGTTTTAAGAGTGAACAAAACAGTTTCTTTTCAAGCTTGTCTTTAAAATGTCTCTGCATTTTCAAAGAAGCATTCTAGTTTACTTGCTTTGTGGTTTATTCACTGGCTTTACAAATACCTGCTGCATCCTGACTCCTAGAAGGACACTGCAGAGATCAGGATGAGGAAAATCCAGATGTGGTCTCTGACCACTTGACAACTCACCATCCTGTTTATATAGTTAAAACAAACAAACAAAAAAAGCCATGTTGGGATGGTGATAACAAAGCAGTGACATGGGTGTGAAAGAATTCACCCATGGGGGATGGACAAATGGCTCAGCAGTTAAGAGCATTGGCTGCTCTTGCAGAGGACCTGGGTATCAATTCCCAGAACCCACACTGTGGCTAACAACTGTCTGTAACTCCAGTTCCAGAGGATTTGACACTCTCTTCTGACTTCCATTGGCACTGCACTACATAGGTACACTTACATGCATGCAGGCACTACATTCATATACATTCATATACATAAAATAAAAAATAATAAAATATCAACAAAAGAATTTAAGGCTGGAGAGTTGGCTCAGCAGTTAAGAGCACTGACTGCTCTTGCTGAAGCCCTGGGTTTGATTCACAGCACCCACATGGCAGCTAACAACCACCTGTAACTCCAGTTCTAGGGGATCTAACCTCTGCAGGCATTGCACGACACAGGTGCACTTACACACATGCAGGCAATACACTTATAAACTTAAAAGTAAAATAATAAATACAATTTTAAAAAAGAATTCAGCAGGGCAGAAATTAGAGAGTGTATTAGATACAGTGCTCTACAGTTATGGCAGACAAGACTCTGGAGAGGACTGTTCCTAAGAGGCATTATAAAGGGCTGCTTTGGGGGCCGGGAGCTTTTATGGGTAGTCATTCAATGTTTCACTATCACAGTGCCCTGGAAGAGTTGCAATTGGGGCTTATGGTTAACTTTCTGAGGAGATAACACTATTGCCCATTGTTAACAGCAGCCTTGCTCTGAGCCTAGCCTACCGAGGCCGTAACTGCTGTGTTCTGAGGCTGGAATAGCTTCTTATAGCCATCTTCCCCAGAATACCATTCATGTTCTCCTCTGACAGATCAACAATGCCAAATCTCCAGTGTTTTGATGGAAGTTTCTTCTTCAGTAGCTTCCTTGACCTGGGCAGGGGTGATATGCTGGCCCTGCCTGTTACTGTTGATCTGACAAGTTTTCATGCAGGCAACAGACATATGAAGGGATGAAAGCATAAGGTAGCACATTCTAAGGGACTGTATGGAAGCTTAGTGGGAAGGGGATAAAGAGGTTAAATACGCAGAAGCCAAAAAAAGGAGAAGACTATGCCAGTGAGCAGGCCCAGGAGCAGTAGCAACCAGGAAAGCCAGGCCTTATGTCCCTCCCAAATCCTGTCAAGGCTCTACCTCTTATATCTGGCGTCTGTTTTCTTAGCCTTTTAGCCATATCTCCTACTATGCATGATTGATTGGCTTTAACTCAGCATTCTTCTCCCAGGACCAGGTCGGTACCACTTGGGAAGCTGTAAGCATATTAAGAGCATTGAAGCTTTGAAGTGCAGAATTGGCCTGCTCTTAGGGGCCTTAGGAGCCACTGAGATGGGATCTAGTCCCATGACTAATTCAGCCAACAAGTTACAGTAAATACAGGGCCAATCCAAGTCTATCTACTCTGATGTCCACTAGGAGGGGGTATCAACTGAATAACTCTGTTAAGTCAAGAGATGCAAAAAGGTCCAAGGCATGGTTGACTACTAGGGGCGATTCTGATGTTGGGAGCCATGAATGCAATGGTGTAGATAGCACTCCAGTTAACCAAAAGAAATCTGCTCTTTGAGTTATTCATAAACTATGTAATAGATTATTCTCAACAATCACTCATCCCTCTGTGTCACAGACCACTAGAACTATTGTGTCTTGGTACCCATTATCAATCCTCCCACTGTACCCTTAACCTGAAAATTTCTAGCCTCTAGCTCAAGTCTTCATATTCTGCATTCAAATTAATTTTGATAAATTCATCTTTTTTGGATATGGTCTTATATAACCCAGGCCAGCCTCAAACTGTTACGTAGCTGAGAATAACCTTGAGCTTCTGATCTTCCTGCCTCTACCTCCCAAATTCTGGAATTACAAACATGTATGCACCACTCTATACAGTGCTAGAGATCAAACCCAGGGCTTCATGCATGTTTGGAAAATACTCTACCAACTGAGCTACAATCTCATTCTCTCATCTCTTCAGATATTAATTTTGGGGGCTGGAGAAATGGCTCTGTGGTTAACAGCACCTGCTGCTCTTGTAGAAGACCCAGGTTTGGTTCCCAGTACCCACATGGCAGCTAACAACTGTCCATAATTCCAGTTCCAGGGGATCTCATGCCCTCTTCTGACCTCTGCAGGCATTGCATGACACAGGTGTATTTACATACATGCAGGCATAACACTTATACACATAAAATAATAAATAAATAAATTTTAATATTACCTTTTTGTACAAGAGGATTAAAAAACTATGACATTTAGTCTCTTTGACTCTCTGTCTTGACCTTTATATCATAAGTATGGTAATGGTAAATAAAACACACAATCTTTTAAATTCCATTTGAATATTATCACATTTAATTTTTTTTAAGTAGTAGAACAAGAGTTTCCTTTGTTCTCTCAAACGTGCAGGTCTATAAGTTGCTGCCCAAAAAGATTCCTGAGAGTATTCCATACAGAGATCCAATGAATGAAGACAGTGGAAAATGCATCAATGCAGAAGAGATCATTCACAATGGGATTATGTACAGTCCAAAGCAGGACTTGAGCAATAATGACATACAGAGCATTTTTGAGGTAATCCTTCTTCCCAAAACACATCAATACTTTTATTTCTAAGTCCTTGTTAAAACAAAAAATCAAGGAACATCTAAGCTCTGGGATCTTATCCTTCCCTCATTCTAACAAAAACAAAAAGAAAAAATAAAAGAAGAGAAACAAGACTCTCAGGGGCATAGGGTAGTTACTTTGTGTACATACATATACCCAAACATGGATTTCTCTGGCACCTTAAACAGCAAGTCGTTTGCTATTAGAACCCAAAACCTTAATCAAATTCTCTCTCTCCTCTTTCTCTCTCTCCCTCCCTCCCTCCCTCTATGATTTTTAGATATTCTGATTAAGAGTACTTTATAGACAGTCATAATGTAAATAATTTGCATAATACTTTTTTTTATCTTTTTGAGACAGGATCTCTCTGTAGCCCCAGCTGTCCTTGAACTCACTATGTAGACCAGGCTGGCCTTGAACTCACAAAGATCCGCATACCTCTGTGTGCCACCACACCTGGCGCATAATACTTTTTAATGCTTTTAAGTTTCTATATAAATATGCATTGTATGTTGATCATGGTCCCTCTAGTAATGCCTTCCCTTTCCTCTCCCTTCCCACTTTCTGTTAATACCCTTTGTGTCCCTAGACCATTTTACTTCTGTTTTCAATCACAGATGCAAACATGAGCCAGGCGTGGTGGCACATTCCTTTAGTCCCAGCACTAGGGAGGCAGGCTGGTCTACATAGTGAGTTCCAGGCCAGCTGGAGCTACAGCGAGACCCCGTCTCAAAAAAAGACCAAAAAGAAAATAGATGCATATATGATTTTATGTACCTATATAAAATCTAAGAATCACAAATGAAAGAAAACATACAATAATTGAAAAGTTTTCTTTCTAAGATTGGCCTAATTCACTTACTATAATTACCTTCAGTCGCATCCATTTGCTTTCAAATGAAATGCTTCATTGTTTTTTATAGCAGAACAAAGTCTATTTTATATATAATGTATAATATATATCACATTTTCCTTATCCATGCCTCTGTTGTTGGACACCTAAGTTGGTTCTGTAATTTGGCTATTGTTAATAGTGCTGCAGGGAACACTAGATGTGCAAGTATCTCTGTGACAGGTTGAACTGGAGTCATTTGGGTCAGTACCCAGGAGTGGTATATCTGGGCCATACAGAATATCTATTTTTAGGTTTTTCTTTGCTTCTTTGGGGTTTTTTGTTTGTTTTGTTCTGTTTCCATTTTTTTGTTTGTTTCATGTGTATAAACGTTTTGCCTGCATGCTTGTGTGTGCATTATATGTGTTCAGTGCCTGCAGAGGCCAAAAGAGCAAGTTGGAATTACAAATGGTTGTGAGTAGCCATGTGGTGCTAGGAAACTGAACCTGGGTCCTCTGCAAGGCAGCCAGTGCTCTTAACTGCTGAGCCATGTTTCCAGCCCTCTTATTTTGTTTTGTTTTGTTTTGTTGGTGTGTGTGTGTGTGTGTGTGTGTGTGTGTGTGTGTTCTGTTTGGCTTTGGTTTGCGTCTGGGTTTTTTTTTTTTGTGGGGGGCATTGAGATAGTCTCACTATGTAGCCCTGGCTGGCCTGGAACTCACAGAGATCTACCTAGCTCTGTCTTCTAATCCTTTCTGGGACTAAAGGACCACACTGGCAACATGTTTTGTTTTTTTAAAATATACACAGTTAAGATTAATGACCGCTAAGGAGAGCTATAAAAGTAAAGTTTATCCACACTGTGAAATTAAAGTGTATCACTATCAAAATAGACTAAACTCTTGTTTTACCATAAGAAAAATATGTAATTCTTCTGATAGAGGTCTTAGCTAAGAGTGACATAAATCTCTCTCTTCTGGAGCTTCCAGAATCACAACTTGCATGATGGGGAGATGGAAAAAAACTCTCTTTAGATTTATTAACTGACTTTAAACTTTTATTTCTGGCTTATTTCTTCCTATTTCATACAATTTTCACTCAGAACTGTGCCCCAGAGTCACATAGTTTCCCATTGCTCTGAGACAAGACAGAAGGGAGTCGTCTGTGACTGAAAGTGAAAGTTGGGAACAGGTTAGGCTGGAGGGACCAGATGACTGTGGCATGGCTTTTGAGCAGATTTTTGAAAGAGTCAAAAGACACTGAAAAAGAGAAGAGAAAGCACAAATCCCCAAGGTTAGCTGAGTGTAGGTATTCAGGAAAGAAGTCTTCAATAAACACTACAAACCTAATGCAGCCCATAACTTCAAGAGAAAAGAAAAAATACTAATATAACCCTATGCTCTATTGATCCATCCATACATTCATACATGCATATAGACATTCATACATTCATATAGATGCAGGTATTTTGTGAGGAAAAGGAAGATAACTTCGAAGGCTAAACTATTTCCAAAAATAATTACAAAAAGAATTATTACAGAGGTGTCAGCATATACCAGGAAATGTTTTAAAATAGAGATTAGAAAAGATGGACTTGAATCCCAATTGACACTTATTAACCCTGTGACTATGAACCATGTATTAAACAGTAATGAAAATGCAACATCGTCTCAAGAAAGTAATGGCAGGCTCAGAATGAGGTTTTCCAGTGTGCTTTAACATGTTATATTTTTCCAGTCTGCAGGATTATATATTTTTACCAACTCAAAAATCCATAAACCACACTTCTGTCAACTGCCTCATTCCTATCCTCGACCTATGGCCTATTCAGGAGGTAAGTGTGTAATTTGCTTGTCTGCTAGAGTAACTGGGGAAAATGATGCTTTACTGGGGTGGGATTTTTTTAAATACATGTGTTTTTGTCTATGTATTGGATCCGACAACTCTGCAACACCTTCTTCAGCAAGACATTCACAAGTAACATTTCTGAAAAAAAAAGAACTCTGATTCTTGTTTCTCTTCCCCATCTCCTCTCTTCTCTCAAAAATCCATAAACCACCCTCCTGTTGACTGCCTCAATCCTATCCAGCACCTCAGGCCTATTCAGGAGGTAAGCGTGTAATTTGTTTGTCTGCTAGGATAACTGGTAAAAATGATGCTTTACTGGGGTGGGATTTTTTTAAATATATGTATTTTTTCTATGTATTGGCTCTTTCAGCTCTGCAACAACTTCTTTAGCAAGTCATTCACAAGTAACATTTCTGACAAAAATAGAACTCTGGTGTAATTTGTGTTTCTCTCTCCCCAACTCTTCTCCATTCTCAAATTTCTTCCCATCCCCCCTCCTTTCCTTCTCTCATTAAAATTGGGTTTTGTGTCTTAGCCTTCAATAATCTTGCCACTCCATACCCTCTGTCCACTGTAGACTCAGCACCCAAATCAGTGATGGTGACAACCTAACACTTGAGTGTACAGCACACACTCACATCTCAGTGGCCAAGCTTCAGACTTCAGATTGCTTTTTTTCCCTCACACAAAAGCTACTTGTGAGCCCACCTTTTTTTTTTTTTTTCGGTCTCACTAAGTCTTGCTTTAATGGACTTATTTGTCCTAACATTTCATGGTTTTTTATTATAGCATTACACTTGCTATTTGCTCATCTCTGTTAAACATGACCCTCCTGAAGTAGACATTCTACTCTAAAGGGGGTTTTCATTATTCCTCCGAAGTATGCCTTCCCATCTTTGTGAATGTTCACACAGCCCTTTCCCTGGAATTCCCTGTTCAGTTTCACTCCCCATCTGCCAGTGCTCAGCTTAAGAGTCACATGGTCAAACTAAAGCTGATTCTCTTTTCTTTATTGAGCTCCTGTGGTGTATAACAGAACTTCTTAAACGTTTTCCACTTGCAACCTCTTTTCACTGAGAAGTTTTTATGCAACCCTAGACATAGATCTGTCAAATATGTATGGAAACAAAGTAATGACAATAAATTATAAAGAAATTGATTTTAAAATGATGCTTTGGTATACATACAAATTACTATTTATCAAAGACAAAAGCAAACATATACTTAATGAGTTGGATGTGCTTGTTTTTACATAAAGAATTAAATTTTGGGTAAATATTTGATACTGCAGAATGTAGAGCATCTTCAATGTTTTTCAGAGTTGATTGATATTGATTTTATAATCATCAATGCTGCGAACACCACTTAACATAAATACATAGTACAAAATTCTAGAAGTATGTTTAGGGCCATTTCAGAAACTGGAAATTCTGACCTCATCCCAAACCCAAATTGAACATTTTTAAAATGAAACCCAAGCCAGTAACTCAAAAGGCAGATTTTTAAATTTTTAATTTATTTTTATGTGAAGAGTGTTTTGCCTGAATATATGTAAGTGCACCTGTGCATGCAGTGCCTGCAGAGAAGATATCAGATCCCCTGGAACTGGAATTATAGATGGTTGTTAGCCACCATGTGGGTACTGGGAACTGAACCTAGGTCTTCTGCAGGAGCGGCCAGTGCTCTTAACCCACTGGACCACCTCTCCCGCACCTCAAACAGGAATTTTTAAACTCAAACATTCTGAGCAATACAAAGATATACAAGATACACTAATTCAATATTTCTGTGCTGAGGGATTGGGGAAAATATGAAGTCTTTGTTTTCTATAATTCAGCCACTATACTTCTATAACAGCAGAAAACTTTGTATGAAGAGTAAAACACCGCAGTATTAACACACAACAGTCTCTGATCTGAAGCGAGGTGTTCCAGGCAGTGTTTGCTGTACAAACAGCATACATGACAGCAGCAATGTGAGCACACAGTTGTGTGTTCAGAACTAAGCATCCTGTTGTTTTCTGCTTCTGTCTCTTCCTGAGAATGGGGCTCACTTTGGCATTTGCCCGTTGTTTTCACACAGTATTGGCTCCGGCAAGCATCGGTGGTATAGCAGGCGGTGCTACAGCAGGCATTGGTATGGCAGGCGGTGGTCTAGCAGGCATTCCGGGAATGAGTCTGGGAATGGGATCTGTTTACCCAATGACAATGACAGACGGATCTCAGATCGTGAGAGAGACAACGCGGAAGTACTTCCCTGAGACCTGGATCTGGGACTTGGTGGTGCTCAAGTGAGTTGGGTGTTCCCTGGAATTTAGCTTAGGTGAGGATATGATTCCTACTCTAGGATTTTGGTGTCACCTTCGGCTCTATTCTGCTCTTTTCTGGTAAATGTTTAAGTCACAGTTCATTTATCTCATAGGTAAAGGATGCTTTTTTTTTTCCCTAATTTGGTCCCTAGTAATAGAAATAACAGAAAACAGAAGGTTGCTTTCTCTAAGGAAAAAGAAAGGAACAAAGGGAAAGAGAGAGGGAAGAAGAAGAAGAAGAAGAAGAAGAAGAAGAAGAAGAAGAAGAAGAAGAAGAAGAAGAAGAAGAAGAAGAAGAAGGGGAGGGGAGGGAAACAGGAAGAGGAGGAAGAGGAGGAGAGGGGAGGGGAGGAAGAGGAGAGGGGTAAACAGGAGAGGAGAGGGTAAGAGAGAGAAGAGGGGAGGGGAGGAGAGAGGAGGGAAGCAGGGAACTTTCAGAGACTTCAGAAGTACCAAACCTTTAGATCAAGTTTAGGGTCTACCATGTTCGGTTCCTGAGCTACCCTAGTCTAGGATCAGCTATGGCTTGTTCTACAGGACATGTTTCTCACTGCCCTTCTTTCTCCACACTAGTGTGTCAGGTGATGGTAGGTTGGCAGTGAAGGTCCCGGACACTGTTACAGAGTGGAAGGCCAATGCATTCTGCTTGTCTGGAGCTACAGGGCTGGGCTTCTCCCCCACCATCTCTCTTCAAGTCTTCCAGCCCTTCTTCCTGGAACTGACGCTCCCTTACTCTGTGGTGCGAGGAGAAACCTTCACCCTCAAGGCCACAGTGTTCAACTATATGTCTCACTGCATTCGGGTAAGGCCGCTTCTCTGAAAGTGAAGGGAGCAGGAGGAAGAGACACCTCAGTACCCAGGGCTCCTGAGACATCGCCTAGAGACATCTCCTAGAGATATCTCCTGAATGTGATGTGCCCTGGTTTTGGAAAGGAACACGTACTCAGAGAAAAGCTATGTGACAGTCCAAGATGACACTCTTTCTATTCAGGACTCCATCTGCACGTTCCTAAATTCAAATGTGGTTTCCATTTTTTAATTTTTATTTATTTACTTCTATTTTATGTGTCTGAGTGTTTTGCCTGCATGCATGTACATATGCCATGTGTGTGCAATGCCCACAGAGACCAGAAGAGGGCATCAGATCCCTTGGAACTGGAATCACAGATGATTATGAACCTCCATGTGGGTGCTGGGAACTGAACCCAGATCCTCTGCAAGAGCAGCCAGTGCTCTTAACTGCTGAGCCATCTCTCCAGACCAGACGTAAATAAATTTAAATTTCAACCAGGGACCATACCGACTTACCATTGATATTCAGTCAAGAAGTATGTTACAGAGGCTGGAGGATGGCTCAGTATATATATATATAGTACAGGCTGACCTGAAATTCTCCATCTTCCTGCCTTAGCCTCCAAAGTGCTGGGATCACAGGAGTGTGCCACCAACCAGCTAGATTACTTCATGCTTAAACTCTGTCTAAAGAGCATCTCCTCCTGAGTTAAATCCTGGACATTTACCTCATTCCTATCACTTTCAATCCCTTATTGCGATCAACCTAAACTTCAAAGTATTAACTGGGATTTATCTATTCTGACACATCTCAAAGCCTCTGGACTGGTCTACATTGCCTTCTCTTCCCTTCTCCTGACCTTCTATCTGAGTCCCTCACCAACCTGTCTGGGTTTGAGAACAGGTCCATGGGCAGCTGGAGCTTTCTTCTGCTTTCCTGGCCTTCCCAGTAAATGACTATGAAGAATCTCTCTGTGTTTGTGGAAATGGAAGAAAAACCATGTCCTGGGCTGTGACCCCAAACTCCCTGGGTGAGTGGCAAAGCTGTTAACTATTTTCATGCCTTATATTGTGCCAGGCAAGAATTTTATGCTTCATGCTTTATGCTGTAATGGTTTGTTTTGGCTCAGAGCCCAATACATACATTTCCTCCTCCTGAATTTAACATTAATCAAGAAGAAAACCATTGGCTACATCAAGGAAACCTCATTTAAAAAGAAAAACACTTAATGTGGTATCACTATTTTTAGTATTTTAAATTACATTTATTTATTGTGTGTGCCATTATGCTTGTGTGGCGGTCAGATGACGACTTGTGGAAAATCAGTTCTCTCCTACCATGTGGGTCCTGGAAATCCAACTCAAGTCATTGGAATTGGCAGCAAGTACACTGGACCGCGGAACCACCTTGCTGGCCCAGGTATCACTGCTTAACTCCACCAAAACTTTATTCCCCAGGGAAAGTGAACTTCACAGCTACTGCGGAAGCTTTGCAGTCTCCAGAACTGTGTGGCAATGAGGTGACTGAGGTGCCTGCCCTTATACAGAAGGACACTGTAGTAAAGTCCTTAATAGTCGAGGTATGTGAGTATTCTGAGTCTCACAGACTTTAATATATGACATCATGTTATATAACTCCATTTCCAAGATTATGGATGAGTCTGCAACTCAGTTTTTCACTGATATTTCAAAGTGATTGGGATTTTTTCCCCTGTATGTTCAGTGTCATTTAACTTTTTGTTTTTTGACTTTTGTTTTCCTTTCAATGTTAAGCCTGAAGGAATAGAAAGAGAGCAAACTTTCAACGCACTGCTATGTGCACCAGGTAAGTGTAAAAATACAAAGTTTCATGCTAAGCCATTTCGTAGAATAGTTGTGGAATAAATGTTCTTTGGGATGTGGTATCCTATGAAGAAAACCATGTACACTCTTCCCATATAAACCTAAAGATGTTCCATGAGGAATAGCCCTTTCCTAAAAAACATGATCTAAAGTGGGCTTGATTTTCCCAGAGGAATAAAGGATAAATACTGTTGATGGTTTGTTTTCTATAGAGATGGCCTTGAACTTACAAAGGGGTTTCAACCCAATAAATCCATCACAAATTGAAAATATCATGAGTCAAAAAATCTAAGATTCCTAAACTATGGGACATCATAGATGACAATATAGCCATTTGCCTTTGTAATCGCATTCTGACTGCTAACTGGGAGCAGTAAACCACTGCCACTGCCCAGCATCACCAAAGAGCATTGCATTCCATATCACTAGTCTGGGAAAAGTCAATATTCAGAATTCAAAGTACCTATGGTTTATACTGAATGTACATCATTTTTACATTATAAGGTAGGGACCATATGTATAAATATCTTTGGTAATCCCATCTAGATACATAGCATGCATATGTGTGTCTGTACGTGTGTGCATGTATGGGGGTACATGTATGCATGTGTATGTGGGAGGCAGAGGTCAACCTTTGGTGTTGGGTGCCATCCAACTTGGTTTTATATTTTATTTATTTATTTGTTTGTTTGTTTTATGTGTATCAGTGCTTTGCCTACATGTATGTAAGTGCACCATGTGCATACAATGCCCACAGAGGCCAGAAGAAGGTGTCAGATATCCTGGAACTGGAGTTACTAACAGTCGTTAGTGGCCATATCAGTGCTGGGAACCAAACCTAGGACCTCTGCAAGAATAACCAATGCGCTTAACCACTGAACCATCTCTCCAGTCCTCACCTTGTTTTTTGAGACAAGCTTTCACTGACCTAGAGCTTACCAAGTAGGCTAGGCTGAATGGCCTAGCAAACCCAAATGAGCCCTCTGTCTCTGTCTCCCCTGTGCTGGGATTATAAACACATTCCATTATACCTGCCTTTTTTAAAAAACATAGATTCTAGGTATCAAGCTCAGGTCTTCACACTTGCGAGGCAAGCACTTTACTGCTTTAATAACAGCCATGTACCAGAGCCAGACATCTCCTTCTGAACTCAAAACCCTGTATTCAGTCACCATCTCTACTCTCAGGCTTGTGGGTCTAATAGGCACTTCAAAACTACCATGTCAGCAAAGTGAAGCTCCTCTGGCCCCATAGACTTACTTCTCCCACAGTTTTCTCCATCTCATATTACAACCACTTCACAGCCTGTAGTACATCCTTTCTCTTATATGCCTCTCCCAATCCTTTCACAAATCAAGTTGACTCCACTTTCAGGTTGTATCCAGAATCAACCCTCATCTCACCACATCTACTTCAACCCTAGTCCTTTCTCCACTGGACATCCTATAACTTCCTAACTGAGCCAGGTGTGGTGGCACATGCTCAAACCCCCAGCCTTCAGGGGGTACAGGTAGGATGCTCATAAAATGTAAGGCCAACCTAAGCTAAGCAAGACCTTATCTAGAAAAGGGAAGATTCATTAACTTCCTAACTGGTCCCCTGACCAACTCTCTACAGCTAAAGGGGCCCCTTCAAGAATGGCCAAGTCAATTGTTTCATGCCCTTCCTCTGCCCACAGCCTAACTCTTCAATATCACCTGCAAGACTTCAGCACCCCTAGACTTCACAGCCTATGACTCTGTCTCTCATTTTGTTCCAGCCACACCGTCCTCCTTTTTCTTCTTGTAACACATTGTAAAATGCTCCAATCTCTGGAGTCTGATTACTTTTGGTTCAGCTTCCCTGAAGTATCTTTCCAAAGATATTTATAAATCTTTCTACATGGTTAACTTATGGTCTCTGAACACAAAAGCCTCTTTTATCAATATGTCTTTCAGTAGTGAGTCCACCTCCCCAACCTCCTTCCTCCTGATTGGCTGTGTCTTGTCAACTCATCCTGTAAACACCCTCTTTTAATTTTCTTCATAGTACCCATTAACATCTTGCTTCTTTACCTAACTCCTCCCATAAAAGTGAAAACTCCTAGAGGTCAGGAAATTAGTTTAGAAAATTGGGGTTGGAGAGATTGCTCAGTGGTTAAGAACACTGGCTGTTCTTGCAGACAGCCTGGGTTTGATATACAACATCTGCATGGCAGCTAACAACCATCGGTAACTCCAGTTCCAGGGAATCTGATGCTCTTCTGACCTCTGTGAGCATTGCATGACATGGGTAAGTTTACATACATGCAGGCAAACACATGTAATAAAAATAAATAAACCAAAAAAATTATAAAGAAAAAGAAAATTAAGACTATACTTTCGGGGATCATTTCTATAGTTCATTACTAGAGAAGTTTCTTTGACTGTGTAGAGTACCAGAAACCACGAAGAGGAGACATAGCATTCTCTCCTGAGTGTGAAGCCGGCTCTTGGTGTTGCTTCACTGCAACTGCCTCTTGCCGTTGATGATTGTTCTTCTCTCTTTCAGGAGAGTAGAGGGAGAGGATGCAGTGTGAGTGCCAAAAATTTTTTTAATTTTTTTAAAAATAAAGAAAAAGAAAATTGCTGGCTTGTGGCACTTAGAATTCAGTACATAGCACATATTCATACATGTGAGTGGAACAAGTGATTATGTAAAAACATCAGCAATAACAGGAATTGTGGCTGGGGAGGTGCTCAGTGGGTAAAATGCTTGCTATGGAGGCATGAAGACCTGAGTTTGGATCTCCAGCCTATATGTAAATCCCAACACAATAGTGTATACCTGTAATCCCAGTGCTGGGTGAGTGTGGAGACGAACAAATCCCAGCACATACTGGCTAGCCAGTCTAACTGAAATAGCAAGCTTTAGCATCACTGAGAGACCCTGTCTCAAAAAATAAGGTGGAGGGCAGTGGAGGAAACCAACCACTAACCTCCATATATGCATGAACAGGCAAGCACACATGTGTATACCCACAGACACACAGACACAGAGACACAGACATACACACACACACTCACACACACACCACAAATTAATATAAGCCATAAGGAGAAGGAAAATGTGTGCCATAAGGTATCTGCTTGTAAAGAAAGCTATAGAAATTTAGAAATTTCTTTTAATATTTTTTCATTATTTTTATTTTGTGTGTGTGTGTGTGTGTGTGTATGAGTGTATTGCCAGCACGTATGTAAATGCACTGTGTCATGCAATGCCCATGGAGGTCAAAAAACAGTGTCGGATTCTCCTGGAACTGGAACTACAGAGAGTTATTAGCTAGCATGTGGGTGCTGGGAATCAAACCTGGGTACCCTGCAAGAGCAACCAGTGCTCTCAACTACTGAACTATCTCTCCAGTCCCAGCTATAGAAAAAAAAATCTCCTAACCCCTGCCTGACTGGAACTCACTATGTAGACCAGGCTGTCCTCCATCTCACAGAGATCTGCCTGCCTCTGCCTCCTGAGTGCTGCCAGCTATAGAAATTCAGACAGACGCATAATCAATATGAACTTTGCCATGAGACTAAGCATGGCTTTAGAAGAAACTTGGATTGTATCAAGAAATTACATAAGAGCCAAGAGAAATGCAGAGTTTGGCTCTAGATCGTGTAAACTGAAAAGATTTATAACAAAATAGAACATTTCTCTCACCACTACCCCCCATTTGTTCATGTTTGTCTTCTTTCAATTAGATGCTGGGGAACCTCAAAAGTGGTCAGTGAAAGTTCCTTCAAATGTGGTTGAAGGGTCTGCCAGGGCAACATATTCAGTTGTAGGTAAGTCTCTCAATCCAAGGAAAATCAGCTGTCCCCCTCTGTAATCCCATGGGGTCGCACTGCTTGTGACTAATGGAGTCCCTGTATGCTAGACATTGGTTTGAGGAAAGGAGCAGTAAGCTAAGAGCTTCTGTCTAAGAGAGAACATGGAGTGAATCGACATTGTACTACATACTATGCTTTGGTTAACTCTAACAGCTCAGAAGGGTTGAGCCCTCATCTTTAAGTGAGTCACTGGATGGCAGGGCATCCTAGAATATGTGAACATTAGTGGTAGTTCAGTTTTACTAGACATTATGGTCCATCAAAAAAGATGCTGTCGCCGTTCAGTTTCTTCTTGGCTTTCTCAGACATCCTGGAGCCATCATTCTCTCATTTTTTGCTTTCTGTCCATTTCTGTATAATTTCTTCTCATCTTTTCCTCCATAAGCAATGAAGCATCTCAATTATTAAATAATATATTTTTCTTTCCCAGTCCAAACCATCTCTGCATTCCTCTGACATTTAATATCTTTCATTCCTCAGGTGATATACTAGGCTCTGCAATGCAAAACCTCCACAATCTTCTCCAGATGCCCTATGGCTGTGGAGAACAAAATATGGTCCTTTTTGTCCCTAACATCTATGTTCTGAACTATCTGAATGAGACCCAACAGCTGACAGAGAATATCAAGTCCCAAGCCATCAGCTACCTTGTCAGCGGTGAGAAACTTTAACTAAGCTCCTCAACATCTTCTGGTGAACTTCAATAAGCGTCACTTTGGTTACAGTTTGATAATCATTGCTGCCGTGATTTTCAATAAAACATTCCATTGTAGAATAAGGCATTTCAGTGATGTCAATAGCCTTTAGAGACATCAGTAAATAATAGCTATCTTTAACTTTTTTATTTGTTTATTTATTTTATGTGTATGAGTGTTTTGCCTGCATGTATATAAATGCACCGCATGCATGCGGTGCTCACAGAGGCCAAAAGAAGGTGTCAGATCCCCTGGAACTGGAGTTAAGGACAGTTGTTATCTGCCATGTGGGTGCTGGGAACCAAACCCAGGTGCTCTGCAAAAGCAGCTCTTAACCACTGATTCATCTCTCCAGTCCCCTAATAGTTAACTTTGATGATCCCTTACTAGTATTAAGGTAAAAATAATTTTCCAGTGTCTCTGCTGTTTTAAAGATCTCTGAAACTTCCTCTTCAGGCTATCAAAAGCAGTTGAATTACAAACACAGTGATGGCTCATACAGCACATTTGGGAACAGTAATGGAAACACTCAAGGGAACACTTGGTAAGATGAAATTATTTCTTTGTGCTCTGCTGATTCATGCCATTTCAGGATTCTAGAAATAACCATTTTCCAATACCTGATATTCTTTCATGGAAGATTATTTATTCTTTAAAAATCCTCATGGGATCCCTACCAGATAATCTCTGAAAAGTCATCTGTTCTGATAACACAGCTGGCAGTGGTAAAATAAGGAAATAAACATGTAAGGCCAAAGTGTGTTTGTGTGCAGTTGATGGAAACTTTCACACTGCACTTGAGGAGGTGAAGGAACAGAGTATGGAAAGAGACTGTAGGGGGTACCATCAGAAGTCACTCGAGAAATGCAGTTTTGATGGTAGGGAGCTGTGAAGGCTCAAAAAATATATAAGACCCAAAGACTGAAAACTATCAACCCTGAGGGGAAAAATCAAGTTAAGATATTAAAAATAAATTAAAAGATTCAGATGTTTGGTAACTGGAAACTATTCAGCCCTCAAGGATCATTTACCATCAGTACACCAGCCCCCTCCCAAAAAAGACCTCCGCTGAACCTTAAAGATCAGTGTCTGCAGGCAACACTCAGTGAGCTCTGAAAGTGAGGTGGCACTGCTGTCTCACCTCTTTCCTGCTGGACAGGCTCACTGCGTTCGTGCTCAAGGCCTTTGCTCAAGCTCAGTCGTACATCTTTGTGGAGAAGGCACACATCATGAATGCACTCATCTGGCTCTCACAGAAACAAAAGGAGAATGGCTGTTTCCAACAATCTGGATCACTGCTCAACAATGCTATTAAGGTGATATCCTGAATTTCCTCTAGCCTCTGAAGGTTGTGGGTTGTGGCTTCTGTAGGAGTTCTCCAGTCCTTGAGACTGGAGAGATGGTTCAGGGGTTAAGAGTGCATGCTGTTCTTACAGAGGACCCAGGTTTGGTTCCTAGCATCCATGTCAGGCAGCTCACAACCACCTCAGCTCCAGGTGATCTAATGCCCTCTTCTGGCCCCCAGGGGCACTGCACTACAGGTTTATTTTAATTGAATGAAAACTGTATTTTTTTTTAAAAAATCCAAAACTTTGTATATTATTAAAAGTAATTTGATACAGATATCACAATTTTAGAGTGGAGGGGAGAGAAAAAAATCAACAAAGGCAAAGGGAAATGTGACTTAGCAGACTCTGGCCGGCGAATGTTGGAGTGTCTGAGAATTTTGCCTCTGGTCCTCTAGGGTGGAGTAGAAGATGAGGTGACGCTCTCTGCCTACATCACCATCGCTCTGCTGGAGATTCCGCTGCCTGTCACTGTATGTATACACCCCATCCCCATCCTTCCTTCACAAATGTAAGGAATAAAAATCACAAACCTGGTGCTGGAGAGATGGCTCAGCAATTAAGAGTCCCGGCTATTCTTTCAGGGGACCTGGGTTCAGTTCCCAGCACAAACATGACAGCTCACAAACAGAAACTCCAGTTCCATGGGGATCCAATGCCCTCTTCTGGCCTCTACAAGGATTGCACATAAGTGGTTCACATATACATGCAGGCAAAGCACTCATACGCATAAAATAGAAATAAATCAATTATAAGTAAATAAATACAAATTTTAAAACCCATAGAACTGTGATTCCCTGAGAAAAACTGTGATTTCCACGATTTTCGATTTTAGTATATTTCACTGTAATATGAAGTACTAAACCCTTTTTGCAAGCTATAGGGAAAATTGCTCCCTGGCGTGAACTCCAATGGTGCATTGGCACAGTGGGGGTTTTAATCTGGAGTTAGTCTGGTGACAGTTCCTGCTTCTACTATGTTAGGATTTGCTTTCATTGTCTTTTATAGTACAGTGTTATCCGCAATGCTCTATTTTGCCTGGAAACAGCCTGGGCCTCCATCTCAGAGACCCAAGGAAGTCATGTCTATACCAAGGCATTGTTAGCCTATGCCTTTGCCCTGGCGGGAAACCAGGCCAAGCGAAGAGAACTGCTTGAATCACTAAGCGAAGAGGCTGTGAAAGATGGTAAGAGCTTCTATTGTAAAGTGTACTTTGCTAGCAGTCACTAATGATGCACAGGCAGGGTCCCTCTATTGAGTTCACATCTCTCATGCCACCCTAACCATAATAACAAAGAAAAACTGACAGTGATCCAACACTTAAATTCTAAGTGAAATAGACTGTTTTATTAATGGACACATTACTGACTTCATATGATCCAATTGCTAGTGCCACACAAGTATGCAATAACAGAAAGACTGTGTGATTGTCTGGAAGCTTAATGTACCATCTTGGCAAGAAACTGCAGACTGCAGACTGTTTGAAAGCTTTCGCTGCAGTGCAGGGCATGGTGGTTCATGTCATTAATTCCAATACTCAGGAGGCAGAGGCAGACAAATCTCTGTGAGATCAAGGCCAGCCTGGTCTACATAGTGAGTTCCAGGTCAGCTGGGGCTACAGGGAGACCCTGTTTAAAAAAAAAAACTTTCACTTCATTTATGCCAGTTCATTAACTTAACTCTAACTGCAATCACACGTGTTCGATTTTGAAAACATGTTACAAATTAAAAGTTTTTTCACTGTATATTTTTATTGAATCTGTGTATTTCATATGATACACCTTAATCATAGTTAAGATGTCCCCTATCTGCACTCTCCTTTAGCCCACCCCACCATATTTCATGCATTTTGTCATATATGTCAAGGCCCACATGTCCCTCAGTGATAGTTCATCCACTAGTAGCATCACTCCCTTAAAGAAGACCAATGCTTGCTCACCCAGCAGTGATCAACTGGCTATGGTTGGGACTTCTTACCCATTTCCCCAGTTCTATGCTAGGTTTTCCTCTGAGTTTGCATAGGTCTTGTGCATGCTGTAACCATTGCTGTAATTCATGGGAGCAGGTTCCTAGCTACCTGGAAAACTCTTATTTCCTTGTGGTCATCCACCAACCCTGGTTCTTAAAATCTTTCTGTCCTCTCTTCTGCAATGGTCCCTTAGCCCTGGTTGGAGAGACTATTAATGTATCTCTCAACTCTTACCAGTGAAGCTTCCTCATGCAACAGAGGGTGATTAGCACAGAAAGCTACAGTTGGTCAAAATGTAAAGAAAAAGAGACTGCAGAATATGTGTCCCTGGACAGGACTCCTATAAACTAAAGATTTTATCTTTTCCATTTGAAAGAGGATTCAATCCACTGGCAACGTCCTGGGAGTGTTCAGGAAGCCAAGACACTCTCCTATCAACCCCGGGCTCCTTCTGCTGAAGTGGAGATAACATCTTATGTACTCCTTGCCTATCTTACGGCTCTGCCTGCCCCATCTTCAGAGGACCTGTCTTCAGCATTCAAGATTGTGAAATGGATCATCAAGCAACAAAACTCCCATGGGGGCTTCTCCTCTACTCAGGTCTGTGGCAAGACTCTTACAGGGAAAAATAAATTAATTAATACAGAAAGAGAGACACCACCACATTCCAGGAATTAAATAACTAGTCAGCATTTCTGATTTACACTTTCTTCATTCCTCCGTCACCCATCATCAAATTTCAGCCTAATCATTTTCTGTGTGGATTACTACCCAGTTCACCTTACAGCTTTATCTCTTCTCCCCTTAGTGGATCCCCACCAAAGATCAAAGGGTCAGTCTTCCCAAAGCAATGTTTCTGTGGGATTACTTCCCTGGGAAAATTATTTTCATCCATAAACTAAAATTCTCTAATAGTCTGCCTAAATATTGCCTGTCCCCACTAAACTTGTGCAGTCTTTAATTAGGTAGATCCTTTTGCTTTTTCTGGGTCTCCATTTAAACATCCCAGATCTGCCCTGATGTTTCCCTGCTGTCTTCATAAACATTCTTCACTTTTCATATGATTATTTCATATTCATATTATTTGTAATATTATTCCTATTATTCAGGATAGTCTTATTTCTCAGCTTTGGTTTTCTTTTACTATTCTAGCCTACTTCTTCCCCATCTCTGATTTTTAACAAGAAATATGACTACACAACTTTATAAATTATTGAAATGGTCTTTGCTTATCTCATATATTTGGTTCTTATTCCCAAATATATTGTAACCTATGTTAATGAAAAAACTTATTTCCCCCTAATGTACCTAGAATAGTTCACCATTGTTAAGCAGATTTGAATTGCATTAAAATTAAACAAATGGACTGTATTCATGACTAAATAATCCTGAAGGAAAGTACTGTTGACTTTTGGTTTTTTGTTTTGTTTTGTTGAGACAGGATCTCCCTGTAGCCCTAGCTGGTCTGGAATTCACTATTTCAGGCTGGCCTTGAACTCACAGCGATCTGCCTGCCTCTACCTCCCAAGTGCTGGGATTAAAGGTGTTTTTATATTTAGTGTAGTTTTGCTCAATCTATCTCTGCTGTGATTTCTGTATCTATCTTTTTTTCAGGATACAGTGGTAGCTCTCCAAGCCCTCTCCAAATATGGAGCAGCAACTTTTACTAAAAGTAAGACAGCAGCTTTGGTCACCGTCAAATCTTCAGAGACCTTCTCTCGGGAATTCCACGTGGATGATACCAACCGCCTGTTGCTACAAGAAGCTGGGTTGCCAGAACTCCCAGGGAATTACATCACCACAGTATCAGGGTCAGGATGTGTGTACCTCCAGGTGAGACCTTCAGGGCCCAGACAATGGGCAAGGGGAGAGAAAATATCAAAAATCAAAAAGGAAATGTATGCGAAGGGAAGGGTTGGATTATTTGGAAGAGGCTGTGAGATTCTTTCAATGCAAAAATAAAGAATATTATTGTTGTTTACAGACGTCTCTAAAATACAACATCCTTCCAAAGAAAGAAAAGGAAGTGCCCTTCACTCTGCAGGTTAATACTCTTCCCGGAAATTATGATGGAACAGAAGCTCACAAGAAATTCCAGATTCACATCAACATAAGGTAAATTCTAAATTGAAATCAGCCCTTACATAGAATACGGAAGAAAAAATGAGTTTCCTCTTTAGGGAAAAGTTCTTGTGCAAAGTCCCACATAATGAACATAAGTCTTCCATTTATCAACAAGAATATTTTCTTCACTCTTACCCAAAAGCCTTAGATTGAGAGTACCATGTTGGTATATCTGGAGTGAAGTTGAAAGTTGTAAGATTTCCAAACAACCACCACATAGATATAGTAGATAGAGAAACTGGGTGGCAAAGAGGACTTTTGTCTTCAGTCAATTCAAAGGACTCTTGTTTGAAGGACTGATCTCTGTGTGCTATCTTCACAGTTATACTGGAGAACGACCCAGCTCCAACATGGTCATTGTTGATGTGAAGATGGTATCAGGCTTCATACCTGTGAAACCATCAGTGAAAAAGGTAAACATTGGTGGAAAGGGTAAGCCCTAAAGCATCAATGGAAAAAAACAAACCCTAAATCATTGGTGGAAAAGGCAAATCCTAAACCATCAATGGAAAATGTAAACCCTGAATGAATGAAAAGGGAAAACTAAACCATCAATGAAAAGGGTAAGCCCTAAACTATCCATGAAAAGGATAAACACTAAACCATCAATGAAAAGGGTAAGCCCCAAGCCATCAATGAAAAAGACAAACCCTAAACCATCAATGAAAAGAGTAAGCCCTAAACCATCAATGAAAATGGTAAATCATACTCTTTCAGGTAGCAATGTCATATTGTCTATTTGGTTTTACTGATGTAGTTTTCAAGAGATTTACACCCATAAACACCTCTAGAGTGTATTTCCATCATTTATTAGTATGTACCATGGTTACAGCATGTTGTATAGAGGTCTAAGACAGAAACAGAGTGAATAATGTTCCAGCAGGCTATGAGATATCTAGAAATGTGAACTGGTATTTATCTTCCAATTATACATGAAAAAGTGTATATGTATATATACATGCCTAGCATATGCACATGTCACATATATGTATTTATATACATATATGAAGAAAAATATTCAATAAAGGTTACTATTACTATTTTTCCTGAAGAAATAAAAATCAGTAGTTTGGATGCTCCAGAGAATCCCTTTATATGATAAATACCTGAAAACTGTTCCTAACATAAATTTTCCTAACTCTGTAATTCTGGATTATCCTCTTTGTCAACAGCTCCAAGACAAACTTAACATTAAGAGAACTGAAGTGAGCACCAACCATGTTCTAGTCTACTTTGAAAAGGTATGACTTTCTGTGACACTGCTGGAGCTGTAAGAATTACTAAAGGTTCTAACAAGACCATCTGAAATCTCTCTCTCTCTCTCTCTCTCTCTCTCTCTCTCTCTCCAACTCTTTTTCTCACATGCACACCACACACACACGCACACACACACGTGGAAGGACAAATAGCTACAAAGAGAAATGAGACCTGGCTGGTCAGCAAGTCTCAATTTATGACATTTGACAATTGACAGAAGTTTTTATTCTTTAACTGTTGTGAGTTGTTATACAGATTTTTTAAAATGTCCCACTCTCTCTTAGGTTGTGATATGGGTAGATAGTACATTACACAGATTGATATATTTTTTTAAGAAGATGGTAACTAATGACTAAGTTAATCTTTAAATCAATTCAGTTCCCTTATCTCTCCAGCTAACCAATCAAATCCTGAGTTTCTCCTTCTTGGTGGAACAAGACATCCAAGTAAAGAATTTAAAACCAGCTACAGTGAAAGCCTATGATTATTATGAGACAGGTGAGTAGAATTCAGACATGCTAATCTTTGATAGAAAACAGTGACTAGCCTAATAAAAGTTTGCCTTAACTCAAACAAAGCTCCACATTCTTTCACTGGAGTTTATGGTCACTGACAATCATGTTCTTGTATATTAACTTCTCCTGTGCACCTTAAACAAGTTCTAGAGCCATTCTGATGAACAGATCATGAAGTACAAGTTCCACCTAAATTTCCCTAAAATGTTGCTTACTCTGGGCTGAATTATCCTAAAAACTTAAGAATAGCAATAATTGGAAAACCTCACCTATTACTGCTGTGTGATATAAAACCTACTATCTGATCTGTCTTTCAGTTTGCAGCAGTTAATCCCAAAAAGAACAGGATATTTTGCAATATACCAGGAAATTCTTCCATTTTCCCATGGCTTCGAATTTGAAACTTGTCAGCATTATGCCATTTCGTAATGTCAACCTTATCTCCTCCCTAAATGAGGGAAAGGCTGACAGGAAGGCACAACTCTAGCAGGGAAGCATAACTGTGGAAAGGGACTACTGAGTCCTGTGGATACACAGGCAACAGCACCTCTGTAGCCCACCCCTCAGTTCTGTGCTTAAGCCCTGTGTTCCCTTGTCTGTTCCTCCAATTGAAATGCATAGTATAGACCTTATTCTGTTGCTTCTGTTGCTTCTATGGCTATACTTTATGCCTTCTGTCTTAGCTTACAGAGTTTATTTGTGATAAACTGCTTACTGCCCAATTGTTTCTGTATTTTAGATGAATTCACCATTGAAGAATACTATGCCCCTTGGAGTGCTGGTACAGTATAAACAGTCAAATTTAATTCCAACTTAAGGAAAATAAATCACACCTGCTTCCATTCTCCATATAAGGCTGCTTCGCCAAATGGATGTATCATTTCTGTACTATATAAACTCATGTGTATCGTTTATGAATTGAACTATATCAGGCGCAATATAAAATTTCTCAGTAGAAAAAATGCTAGTAAAATATTACTGGAATCTGGAGTGACTTATTTTTAACTAAATTTAAGAATTGCAAGATGTAAAAACTGAGTCATCTGTCTACTTTCATTCTACACCCAGTGATGAGCCATGATTTTCTAGTATCCTTCTAAATGTATACTGGTTGTAGTCAGGAAATGTGCAATTGTAATC